ATTCCTTAAAGTAATGTAATCACATGTACAATGTTCATTTGAGTGCATGCCTATGTGTGGAGGTCACAAGCCATTGCAAGGTTGTTTTCGTGCAATTTAAGGCAGTTTTTCAGTATTAAACGTGTTTCACAACAAGGTAAGGACCAGGAACCAAAATAGTGTGTAGAGGACCAAGATCAGGTTGGCCCAAAAATATAGATGTTAATATAGATTTTCTTCACTTTAAGATAAGCAGCATCTCTGACACGTCAAGTTTGAACAACTGTAAAATCTAAATATGAGGATGCACTTGGTTAATATAACTAATGATTAATGAGGCAAAGCCATAGATCAGCACCCCTGTCTTTAAATACTTGTATACAGGCCCTGGTCATGAACTTCAAACTGTTTCTGTAGACCATCAAGCTTAAGGCAGTGAGGTCAGATGTCATGTTCTGCTCAACAGGTTCAGAGGGTCACCTGGTACTATTTGTGCCTCAGGACATATGAGGCTGTCACACAAAGAAAGCTCATCTGTGCACAGACATGTGCTACACACTGACCCCTGTAATGCAGACCTCCAACAATAGCAGCTGAAACATATAACACATTGCTTCTCAAAGACTTCTATAAGATGCTGCCACTTCACTTTTCCATCCTAGCAGCAGAGTGCATACTGTATTGCATTGGGAGGGGTTGAGCCAAAAGTATTTGTTTACAGTGCTTCTTGATTGCGTGAATTTCCACTCTTCAGCAAGGTGTGTGGTGGAATCCCTTTGTTTCCTCTGCTTCATTTTTGTGGTTTCCAGCAGCCCGTCATACTTTCACATCAGCCCAGTTCAGATACTGAGAAAACCCCCGACCAAGCCGTAAACCCCCCCCAGGCCAGTAGAGGCCCCATACGGACCTGCCTGGGCATGCACCTGCCAAGCCCTGCCGCTCGCTGCTGCTCTGCTGCTTGTCTCGTCCCCTGCAGCAGATTCCCCCGGCATTCTGCCTCTGTGGAGGTCTCTGCGTCTGCTGCTCCCTCACTCGGTTGAGACACGTTGCTCATGGCTTCCGAGAAGTGAGGCAGAGCAGGCAGGATCAGCATGTGGTCTGCATGCATGCATCTTATGTGTGTGTCTGTTTGCACGATACGCCTCATAACCCCTAAGGGTTAAGACTCTCATTAGCACCTAGCCAAAAAAGATATCCCTTTCATCTCATCTATCCATACAGTATGGATCAAGTGAGGCACATCATTTGCAAACAAAGACAAATAGCCTGACAGACCCACAGACTGTAGTCTAAACATGCTATGTCCACCACAAAGTCCCATGCGGTTTTATAATTGATTCCATCAGAAATCCTAAGTTCACTTGCTAAGCCTGCATGTCAGAGTGGTGGGCAAGAGGTTTAGCTGTCCTGTATTAAACCCGAAATATCAGAGGTTGGCACAGAGGTCTCAATAAAGAGTTTGAGTTTTCTTACTGATGTTGTTGGCGAGCATGTGACACCAGGGTTCAAATTCAAACTCCGTGCAGGGCAGCACTCACTCTGGTCCACCCTTTGACTAAGAGATTAATGGGCAGTAACCGAGCTAGTAGACAGTGTAATTAAGGCCCTTAGTCACTCAGTCACCAGACAGAGTGAAGTCAGCAACACTTGAACTCAGTGATGTTGGAGGGATTGGGACTGGCAGATGAGCTAATGTGGCTAACTTCGCTTGGGTAAACTTGAGACAAGAACATGAATGAGAATGATGAGCACTCTTACATTTCAGCATGGGAACATGAAATTGGGCAAAACAGCATTTTTAGGTTTGAATTATTAAGTTGGATATAAAAGAGAAGACACTTATTTTTTCCCTGTGCATAACAGTGTTTGAAAGTTAAATAGTTTGACGTAATTTTACTTTTTGAGGAACTGCGATCGGACGGGATTTCATATTTAGAATTGTTTGTTGTCAGTGTCAATCAGGAAGCTGCTGCTAAATACACATGTGGCTCATAGCTGATTATGTAATCTTAATATATTATATTTGCAACAGCTGTAAAAGCAAAACAACTTGATACCTGGGAGCCTTTTGCAACAATGCACTCCTGAGATCAAAAACATTGTTTGCGAGGTTTTGTGGGGGTAGGGTTTTGGTGGTAGCCATATGTAGAAAGCAAAAGCGCACATGAGCTGTGAACCTATCTAAGGGGGGATTTTTTCCCCAGTGACTTCAATGGTTTGACTTTTGTGTTGGGGTGGGGCACTGCGCTGCACTCATCTGTCACAGTCAGTGGCTGCTGTGATTGGGTTGCACCCTGCGGGGGTCCTGAGGTCATCCTGAGTGGCGCTCTGATCTGATCAGCGTCAATTGTTCCCCCATGATCCTCTCATGGCCTCCAGCGTCACGTTGTTCGCCCAGACTCAGCCAAGTGCTGGAGAGACTGCTCGACACTGGTGAAGCTCTTTTCTTATAAATGTTGGCAACAGCTCTTCAAATCCCTAACCCTGTAAACACCAAAATCACACACATTTATTGTCAAGCCAAAGGACATTTTTCTTGCATTCATTACCCCAGAAATGACAATTTATATATCTTATATATATTACTTACTTTGTGTTACCCTTACATTCTTGAAGAAACCCTTTTATGGCAAGCCTTCAAGGTAGACAAGGAATCACAAAACGGAGAAAAGTGTTGAGGATTTGTAGTAAGTAGGGGCTGCGTTTAACAACAGGAAAAACACGACGGCATAAGCAGTCTCACGCTTTCACAGGCGCAATTGTCATTCATGCGAGTCTGGTAGATTACAGTGTTTTAAAATTCATGTGTTTTGGAAGTAGTGAGCATATGACAATGAATTAGACTTTGATTATACTGCACTACTTGCGCGAGGGTTTGTAAATGAATGTTTTTGCTGTTGTTAAAACCAGTCACCATTTTCATGAATTTCTCAAGACTTACCCTTTGAAATTATTTGATCAAGAGGCATGCGAAAAAAGTTTTCTTCTCAAATTCAAGAAAACAGGGGTGGAGTAATTGATAGGCAAATCAAAATCTTTAAAAAGGCAGACCTGTATATGTATGGTTCTTCAGGTGATACACTGTATGCCTGGATATACATCAACAAGACATTTGTGTCTGACATCCAACAGTAGATGCATGACTCTCTGGAAGACACCGCACAGTTTTGTTTGAGCTTGTCATAACAAAAAGCATGTTAAAACATGGGCATGGCAAACATATTTTCAGTCTCTCTGTCTATTATTCCAAGAGAAATAGAAAGCAATTAAAATTAATTACCAGAGTGAAACTATAATTGTTTCTGGCATCACAAGCTGATCTTGGCCGCCGTGTTGTGGTGCTAAGGCACATCTGCACGAGCCTACTGGTGAGGCACAAATGTTCAGATATGCTGTTTTTGTCCAACAGCAAGCCAAGCTGTAATCGCTGTCATTGTTATCAAATCAGATACCAAGGAAAGCCACAAATTAAAATGGAACTGGAGAGGCAGGTGTTTTCATATATTTGATATGTATCAGGGAATTTTCCCCAACCTTAGCAGACAGGTTCTTGTGTGTTATCTGTTAGATCTGCTGATCTGTGTATGCTAACAAGTGGGAACACTTTGAAAAGTCAGTGCTAATAGCTTGTATCCCTGCCCTGAAGTGGGCCTATTAGCCCCCCCTCTCCTGCTGGAGAGAAAAAGACCAAATAAACAAGAGCTCTAGTATAACTACATTAAACAGATAAGTCAATAAAGCACTCCAGTATAAATCACTGTACTGTCACAGAGCTAGGCTTACAGTTAAACCTCAGATGAATGAAAACAGACGAAGAGCCTCCATGGCAGGTAACAATCGTTTCTATTGTGGGGCTGAGCTCAAGTAAGGCACAGACTTGAACTGTGACGCAGACAGTCTTACTTGCTACATCCTACGAAATAGGTTCGTAAGACGAACAAAGCCAAAATGATCAAATTGTAAATGTTGTCTCAACACAAGCATCAATACAATACTTTGCCCTAAAACAAATAACATTAAGGTGATTCATTGATTCAGCACTAAGCTGTTGAAATAAATAGAGAATGATTAAATCTGTGCCGTCCTCCCTCTTCAACCTAAACAAAATCCTCAAAAATTGGCAAAATGTTGATATAAATCAAGAACTATCTGAACAAAGAATGTACATCCCTTGGCATACATAACGTTTGTCTTACCTTATTTTTTATTACTAATCTGACAGATATCCCGATGTCAGCTTTCACCTCCTGATAGTTGTTGATTCAAATTATTTCAGCCAATACCAAAAAAGTATTGAGGTACAATATGTACTCTAAACATTTTAAAAGTTACAATTGTATGTAATCTGAATTGAGCCTGTTTGGCAGTGATTGCTGTGACAAACCTCCCTTGACCATGATGCAGTTCTTTCTATTTCTTGTCCGCTATTGTGCTTAAATGCTTGATATGTCATTTTCAACCACTAAGGGTATTCTCAATCTTTTGATTGACAGAAGTCAAAGTTTGGTGGCATTACAAAGTAGCATGGGAGTTTGTCATTGCAGTCAACTTATCTCGGTTTGTTTCGGAAGTTTCCAACATTCAGGATATAACAAGAGCCAAATTATGTGCAGAAATCTCCTCCTAATCCAAAACAAAAGGACATGGTGTTTAATACCTGTAAAATGTTAAAGTCAAAATGAGTGTTCACCCAGTAAACACAGGATGCATACGATTCAAGCTAAATGCTAACATTTACTTAGATCCAGACATCCAGTGACATATATGTCATGGATGTCCAAAGTTGTCCAATGTCAACAGTATTACAGGCTACCAAATGGTTTCCAATACATTCTAAAATAGCTGGAAAAAACGTTGGATAATGCAAGTACACTACTCAAAATACATAAACAAAATATAACATAGGCCAAGTTGTTTTCAGAAATATAAATGGGGAAATGTTGCATATCATACCTTTAACCAGAATGCAGAGATGTGTTTATCTCCCGCAGTTCTCTGTTAATCCTCTCTGTGTGTCGCAGGTCCCTGGCCCTTGGGCAGCAGTACTCGTCTCTGGGCTCCCAACCCATCCTGTGTGGCTCCATCCCCGGCCTGGTGCCCAAGCAGCTGCGTTTCTGTCGCAACTACATAGAGATCATGCCCAGCGTCGCAGAAGGCGTCAAGCTGGGGATCCAGGAGTGCCAGCACCAGTTTAGGGGCCGGCGATGGAACTGTACCACCATCAAGGACAACCTGGCCATCTTCGGCCCTGTGCTAGATAAAGGTACATTATCTAGAGGCACTTAGACTTAGAAAAAAGGCATGCATTTTGTAACAATGTAAATATGTATAAGGAGCTGAAAATAAATATCGATTTAAATGATCTGTGCCAAACATCTCGCTACTGTTAAAACTATGACAGAGGCTATTGCAAGCTAATAAACCCTTAGGCTTCGCACTGTCTGATTGTTGGGCTTTACTGACAAACTATGGCAATTACAATAATATACACCTTTCCCGGCTGCAGTGAGAAATGAGCGCAGGTACAAGCACTGACACATTATTCAACTTCCATCCATCTTTACCTTCAGTATCACATTTGTCTTCAGACCTATATTTCGGATTTCCCAACCGTGTTTACACTCTCAGGCATGAAAGAGGGTCAGCTCGGTAACTCCATCAACAAAGCCTGACAAGTAGGGCTGATATACTGGAGACATCCATCAGGCGCTTCACACGCAGAATACTAATTGTAAGATGTCTCCACACTAACTGTGTTCTTTAAACAATCCTGCTAAACCTAGGACAATAGGCACAGGTGTCCTGCTTAAGGCCCTGCAAACCCTAATTATAAAGGTAGGAGTTTGTGTGTCGTGATTGGAAATGAATTACCCTGTGTGTCAGAGGGGAAGGAATCTGGGCAGAAATGGGCAGTGTGAGCAGTCCAAGCTCCTCAGTCAAATAAAAGGGAGAAGGGAGAAGGGAGACCAAATGAGATTACAGGCAATAGAAAAGGGACGGGGGGCTCCGCAAAACCCCTACTGTGCATGAAGACCAGTGCGCGCCTCACACAGTCCAGCTCCCACGGACACCCCATTCACACGCCCTTTTGACTCTGTCATGAAAACAGGCTGAAAGGGGATCTCTCCCAACCTAGCCCGGCTGAACACTTCAGGGATAGGGAAGTGAAGGAAGAAAGAAAGGAAGGAAGGAAGGAGGAAAGGTAGCGTCTCACTTTGGGAAATGATAAATGGAAGGGAAGCAAGAGCTAGCAACCACCAGCCCCAGCCACCTTGGGCTGCGTGTTGGCCATGGTGGTGCAGTTGGTGGATGCCATGGGGGAAGTGGGGGGTTGAGCTCCTGTGGTGGGTGGTGGTGTATGGGATTTCAGCTCAGGGTGTTGGCGGAGGGGTGGCTGGAGAGAGAGGGGGGTTAGGGAGTTTAGGGAATGCCAGCTCCGGGCAGAGCGGGGCTGTGGGGGCGCGAGTCGCTGGGCCCTTTGTGTGGGTAATACAGTGTGACACAAGGGAAACAAAGGCGGATTGATGGACCCAGCAGGTAGCAGAAGCAGCGCTAGCCATGGCTAACAGCCAGAGCTCCAGGGGCCTAGGGCTCACAGGCCCCTGTTGTGGATGGCCCAGAGCGGCTTGCCAGGGCGAGCAGGGATGCCCAACCTGCGGACGGAGTGGCATCCAGTCATGCAAGGATCATAGGGATATTGATCAAAACAGTATCCAAAACCAACTTAACACAACCATTTTTTGCTACTTATCATTAATTGCCTTGAAATTGAAGCTCAAGTCCCATAAACGTACATGTCTTGTACGTTTTTTCATGTATAACATTGTATTAAGTATTTACGACTGGTATCTTTGTTTTGAACAGCCAACAAACTACAGATGCCAATAAGCCTAAAGCTATGATCTGTTATGTTGTACCACATGGGGACATTCATGCATGATTAAGGTGTGAATGGTCATTTTTGAACAAAATAACTTTACTATGGATGAATGATGAGATAAAGATGCAAGAGTAAAGTTACTTTTTCATTGTTAGATTTAATAAGGGAATTCAAAAAAAGGACATTGTTAACATGTTGGTTGAATATGTATTTGAATAAAGCTGTGATTTACAGAATTTCATAAAGACCCTAAAAGATGATAATCTTAGCATCTGTAATCTCAATTATTAGCATCAGAAATACGGATATATTGAAAAAAGAAACATAACAGCACAGATATTGTCCCTTGGGGAATCATAACAAGCTAACATGTTTTTGTTTTTGAAACTATGCTTGCAGATATCTTCAGGGTGGGAAAATATGACTAGCCTCCAGCCAAACATTAGTAAACTGTCTGTGGCTTGTAAAGTAGTCTGAACGGGTCTCAAAATCCTCATTGGCAGTGAAACTGGTCAGGAATGTTTGGCTTTAGAAGCCACTGTGGTCTACAAACGACTGGTTTAATTTTCTGGTCGTGTCCGTACAAAAAACTCATATGACGCATCACAAACTCAGGCCACTCAATGCTCTTGAGAAGTAAAACCACTGCTTAAGGACTCCTTCCCTTACAGTACCTGTGTGTGTGTGTGTATGTGTATGTGTATATGTGTGTGTGTGTGTGTGTGTATGTGTATGTGTGTGTGTGTTACACAGCTAGTGGAGTGTAATGGGTGAGCCACGGTAAGTGTGCTATGATTGTGAAACAATGGTGTCTGGTTACATAATAAGCTGTTGCCTTCAAAGGAGGCGTAACTCCATCCTTCAGTGTGTAAAAAAGAAACAGGCCGACACACTGCTAGGTTTCAACAGAAGGCCTTGGGCCCTGAACAGGGACGTGTAGGAGGAGGAGGGGGTGACAACATTCCTGAAACACTATCCAGATGCTAAACAGCACACCTCAGGGATGACAGGAGGTCACTGAGATCCCACTGAGCGTTAGGCCCTCCTGACACAACCACAATGGGCTGATGTCACTGCAGGGACTCTGTTTTTTTTTGCTCCTTCATGTCCTTCCTCAGCGCTGATGGTGATTATATGGTAAACACTCTGAACCATGTTTACGTATTGTAAAAAAAGAGGGTTCTCATTTCTTTCTCCATATAAGGCTTCTTGTTTTTCACAGTCGTACATAAATGTGCCTTCTCAAAGATGAAATGCTGTGTTAAAAGGTAGTTGCCTGGGGGTGTCCCTTTCAATACTTCTGTCTGGATGTTGGCAGCAGTAAAGATTGCCGGGTCCGTGTTAAACACAAGATTGACACACTCTCTATATCTGTCTCCTCTCTGTCTGTCTTCATCCGTCTCTCTCAGCAACCAGAGAGTCAGCATTTGTCCACGCCATAGCTTCAGCAGGTGTGGCGTTTGCGGTGACGCGCTCCTGCGCCGAAGGCACCTCCACCATGTGCGGCTGTGACTCCCACCACAAGGGACCCCCCGGGGAGGGCTGGAAGTGGGGCGGCTGCAGTGAGGATGCAGAGTTTGGGGTGCTGGTGTCCAGGGAGTTTGCAGACGCCAGAGAGAATCGCCCAGACGCTCGCTCGGCGATGAACCGCCACAACAACGAGGCAGGACGCTCGGTAAATACATTTAGACACATATGAGGAATGTGCCAATGTCTGTTAGGTTTCTGTATTCCATATTCACATATTGTCAAAAGTATGTACCCATCTGAACATCACACTCCTATTTGATAGTTCCAAATTCATAGGCAAACATCTTCTGCTATATCAGCCTTCAATTGTCTGGGAAAGCTTACCACAAGATTTCGTGAAGGTATTATTGAATGGATTTAACCACAAGATATACTACACTGACGACAGCTGATCAGGTCTGGCTCACTGTGAGAATTCCAGGTCATCTTGAAGGTGTTGGAAAGGGTTGAGGTCAGGGCTCAGGTCAGACTAGTCAAGTTCTTTCACACCAAACTGGGAAAACCATTTCCTTATGGAGCTGGGAGTTGTCATGTTGAAACAGGCAAGGGACAAACACAAACTTTTGGAAGCTCTATGCTGCAGCATTAACATTTCCAGCCCATTCTTCAGTCTGATACCAATTCACAAAGCAGCATTTTGCATATGTATGAATTGCATCAAGCATTCAAATAACTCTAATGTAAGCATCTGTTTGTAATAAGTTTGGATTGAGAACTGATCAAAATATCCTTTCACTTAAACCAAGAAGCCAAGCTTAATCAGAGGTGGTCAGTCCACATACTTTTGTCCAGACACAAAAGCAATTACCACAAGGATTAAGTGATTGAAAAGCACTGGTTCAATAACTGTACAACTGACTCAATAGAGAAGAAGGTTGCATTGTTGAGCACATTTTTTGATAGTACTTTAAGTCACTGTAATACATCACATTAACTGGAAGGTCACTGGGAGAGCGCAGACCTACGCCAAAGCCAAATGCCCCAGTGAAAAAATATTTTTCGTATCCACTTTGTACAACTGATTTCAGCAAAAGTGGAAAACAGACACGGAGATGCAGTCAACAATGGACAACGGTCTGACTGTGCTGCTAAAGGAGAGAATTTACCCCGACAACATTACAGTGTGGAATTACTAATTGTTCGTGTGACTGACAGGGATTTGGTATTTGACTTGTCTGCATATTTCTGAATTTCCACCTATAAATGAGCACTTGACTTTGAATGACTGGTTAATTACTCATCTAAGCAGCACCCTCCCACCTCACCTTCCATGCCTTGCATCCCAATGAGAAAATTCCCTGACAGTCAAATAACCCGAGTGAGTTGAGGGGAAAAGAGAGGAAATCAGCCCAGACTTAAAACATCACTGGCTGCTGTCACCGCTAAGAAAAAGAAATAGGCTCCCCGGCTGCTCGCTGAGGGGCAAATGGAGGGACCACACGGCAACAAGAGGGCCCTTTGATGTGAGCACACAGGAGCAGGGAGACCACAGGAGCTAGCTGAACAGCAGCACTGTCAGGAGTCTCCTCTCCACCTGGCCCTCTCACGCTCCATTATTTAGCCTCAAGGGCCTTTGGGACTTGATGTTGGCATGACAAGCTCACAGGATGATGTCACTACAAGCCCCCCCCCCCCCCCCCCCCCCCCCCCCCCTTCCTCAGCCCCACTCTCCCTTACTTTAGCCAGAGGTGCCACAGCCACCTGCCTTCCGCCCCAGCTGGGGGAATTCGGCAGCTAAATATAGCTGTTGAATTAAAGCACAAAAAGAAAAAAAATCAAAACACAAAGGTAAAATAAGCCCTGCGGCGAAACACTCATGATGTGAGCCAGTGACTTCAGAGAGAATTAGCGGCAGCAGAAGAGCCTCTGTACTTCACAGCTGCATGACACTTAAATAAATTGCAGCCATTGACATATTGTTTTTCTTGGCCTGCTCTGTGAGTCTTCAGTGGTCTGCATTACCTAATTACCTGCACATTTCTGACCATAAAAATTCCAACAGATCTTGCTTGATGTTGACCGACTTACCTGCCCCACAAGCATTGAGTCACCTATCAAATTAAGACCACTACATTTTTGGTTAATTGCACTTTAAAGGAATACTCCACCATAAAAAATCGAGCTTTTTAGTATCAAATTCTCACTGCCTGTAGGCCTTGGTCCCAGAGGATAGTGGGCGTAGTCAGCTTGAATTCACAGCAGCTTAAGGGGATTCCAGTGGTAACAGACGCAGCAAACAAATGTCAAAACCTCCAAAGACACTTCTCACCACCTCACTCCAGAAGCTCTGCCAAGAGAGGTGTATTCAGGGATTTCTTGGCTAAGGCCGAAGTGGTTTATGCATTTAAGAAGTTATATTCTATATCTTTGTGTCATGACACTGGATTCCCTTGTAACTATACAGTAAATCCAAGCTGATGGAGCAAGCTTCAGATCCACCTTTAAAGCCTGCAGGCATTGACTCTTTAGATATATTTTTAGTTGAGAACTGCTTAAAGGGATCATGAGGAAATGCGTTATGAAGGCTTACAAGTTGGATGCTTGCCAGGATGATATCAATGCCATATTGGCCTTATCACTATGATCCCATTTTTTTGGGTTTGGCTGTTCACATTATTCGTTAAATGGTGGCCAATTGAAGGTTCCAGTGTGAACTTGATAGTCCTGAACTGACCCATGTGTGGAAAAGATGTCAAATGCTGTCGTGCAGGAGTAAACATGGAGGCCAATGAAGTCAACGTTTAAGCGTTCATTTTTAAGTTGGTGTGCACTGGGATGATAATACTAAAACGTACAGTTTAACCATTATTATACTTAAAAGCTTTATCACATCACAGTCCGTCAACTGTTTACTTTCTTTCATGTCTTCCATGCTTGTATTCTCCAAGTGTCTCCTGCTAGCTAACAAAGGTAGCATAATGGTCACAAACATCAGAAGGTGAATTTGTAGGCCTAATTTGTTTAAACCAGGAGAGCAGATATAAGCTTTAAATATTCCTACAAGGTGAAAATAAAAGTGTCTTGTGTGTTTCTCAGACCATCCTGGACCACATGCACCTGCGCTGTAAGTGTCACGGCCTGTCGGGGAGCTGCGAGGTGAAGACCTGCTGGTGGGCGCAGCCGGACTTCCGCATGCTGGGCGACTACCTGAAGGACAAGTACGACAGCGCCTCGGAGATGGTGGTGGAGAAGCACCGCGAGTCCAGAGGCTGGGTTGAGACGCTGCGGGTCAAGTACAACTTCTTCAAGCACCCCACCGAGCGCGACCTGGTCTACTACGAGGGCTCGCCAAACTTCTGCGAGCCCAACCAGGAGACCGGCTCCTTCGGGACGCGCGACCGGGCCTGCAACGTGTCGTCGCACGGCATCGAGGGCTGTGACCTGCTGTGCTGCGGCCGCGGACACAACACCCGGACTGAGAAACGCAAAGAGAAGTGCCACTGCATCTTCCACTGGTGCTGCTACGTCAGCTGTCAGGAGTGCGTGCGCGTCTACGACGTCCACACGTGCAAGTGAGAGGCCGGTGCTTTCAGAAAAAACTGGACTACAAGTGCTGCCCATCCACACTTCAACTCTTTCACTTCCTGCACGACTTTCCCCGCATCCCCAAACACAGACTCTGCATCTCAAGCAAAAACATATTCATCAGCACACACACTCAGGCCCTAATGGGTTATGGCACATCAGCTATGGATACTTCTATACCTTTATTTTTTGTAAAAACCCTTCCTTGAATCCAAACCACTACATTACCATAAAATCGGAGGCAGAAAGCGTCCTGTGTTGACCCGGCTGATCTCTAATCTGAGGTCAAGGAGTTGTGCCACTTCTTCCTTTCCCTGCGGCATCGGCCCCCACCTTCCCCCTCGTCTTTATTTATTTCCCCCCTCCATGCCAACATAATGTCTGTGGCATGTACAGTAACACTTTTTACCTGGGAGAATAATGCAGTAAAAAAAAACTCTCTTTGCTTTTGAAACAAAGCAATGTCTAACTAACACCTCACTTCCATCCCGGCTGGTTTACCTTTTAGTTTTTTAGACTAAACCAACCTCTACACCGTCACTCCGCGGTAAGTGACACTGAACAGCCCCAGGAAAGCATCACTTTGTAACTACTGAACTGAACAGGTGCTGGAAGTGCCCCCGTCCTGTCTTTTGTAAACTACTGAGCTGATGAAATCCTCAGTGTTGCTTCTCTCCCCGCTGACTGACTCGACCGCACCAGTCAACCTGGAAGATATATGCTACAGTCGGATTTTATAGCCCTGCATTTCTGAAATATTACCATTGGGCTGGGACTGGAGGTATGCAGCATGTGTGTGAACAAGCATGCTCATTCCACCAACTAACAACCCTACACATGTATATTTATGCACTATTCAGCTACTCCAGGTGGGAAAAATGTGAGCATTGTTTATGCGAGCAAATTCTCAGTCGTTACAAGTTGTTGTGAATTATGACTTTCTTCCTGCATACTGTAAATTGCTCATAATTTCCACACATGTGATGCAACGCAGTCATACATCATTATTATAAGGAATGACAACTACCAGGGTTCAAATGATATGTCCAAGTAAAAGATCATTTGTGGCTGTCTCATTTATAAATGTATGCATCAAGTGTGGGTCAAGTTTCAGCATGCTTTTTATTATTAATTCTGGTCTTATGAGCAAAGTGATTATTGGGAGATCTTATTAATTCAACTCTTCTTGCATTCACCAGGTCCATCTTAGAGACTTTTGTACGACTCAAATCTTTCACTGTAAAAATGGAGAAGGGGGACATGTGACGACATGTGGAGCCTAGAGTGGGTTCCGATTGGCTTTTACACCCGGCCTTCCTTCTCTATGAGTTTTCTCTACGTTGAGGTTTTTACTATTGTCAGAAGACCCCAAAAACACACCTGCCTCAAAGATTTGGAAATGGAGATATTGGAAGAAAATACTATTATTTAATCTAACCCTGCTTATTGAGAGGCATCGGCCTAGTTGAGTTATTATTTTATCTTTTTGATAGGTGTGATTTTTTGGTCGACAGAAAATACTTCAAGACACTAAAGGGACAGTTCACCCCAAAATCATAAATATATATTTTACACTCGTACCAGTGGTACTTTTAATCAACATAGATTGTTTTGGTTCGGTAGTAAGTGTTGGAGATATTGGCCACAGAGATGTTTATCTTATTTAAAATATAATTCAACTAGATGGCACTCGTACAGTGCTCAAAGCTCCAGAGGGACTATTTCTACCGAACTACATGAGTGGATGCACACGTCATTTTGTGTGGTGATGTGGTTGGCTGATGTAGTTCTTTAGACAAATCACTGCAGGTTTTTTTTTTAAATGCCACCTAGTTGTAGAGAAGGTGGTCAATACTTCCATTTCAGTACCAACACCAAAACGATGTAGAGGGAGAAATTGTATTTTTGGTTTTGGGGTGAACATTCCCTAAAGCAAAAGAGCGTTAGGAAACTTCATAAGAAGATGATTTATGTCTGCAAGATGTGGATGTGTGTGTGAATGACGGCTGCCTGTGACAGTGGTGAATGGAAAAAAGACGGATGGTTGGACGGATGGATGGCAGGATTCACACTGTGAGAAGTTTCCACACAACATGTTCTGACAGTCCCACCTGCTTCCTATTAATTATATTCAACAAACATACCCAGTAGTGTGTAGGCTGTACTCTCTTTGCGACATAGCTTAGCATTTGTGTCATGTTCTACACAGCCCTGCCTACCTGGGCCTACCTTCCTATGTTCAGTACCCCCCCCCCCCCCCCACCACTTCCCCCGCTATATCCAAAGTTTTGTACAAATGTTTTAAAGTGAATAATTCCCTTTTTATTTTATAATCGTAAATGTTATGTTTTTATAAATATTATTTATTATACAATGTATATATCTGTATGACTGAACTAAGATTATATATTTGAACAACAAATCTGTGTCATGTTCTTTTTCATTGCGTTATAGCTTCCTTTTAAAAAGCCAGTTTGGGCAGCAAGTCATCAACAACTGTTTCAGTAGCATAAGTATATAAACTAGTCTTACCTTGTCTGTTTCAAGACTTTTTTTCTTCATTACCAAATATCAAGTTAGGCATACTACAAGATGAATAAATCCAAGTTTTTGTTCACTTCTGCCTCCATCTTGACTGTAAGGAGGGACAATTTTGTTAAAGTGAAATGTTTGTTTGGGAGGGGAAAGGGAGACATCATTGGACTCCTTTGTTTACTTTAGTAACATTGTGACATCACTATGCAACACTGGTGCATCTATTGGCTAGCGCTCCAACACATTGTACATATAGGCTAAGGAGCGGGACATCTCTAAGCTGTTGACCAATCACAACAGAGCTGACCAGATAACCAATCGGAGCAGACTGGGCTCTGGTTTCAGACAGAGGGTGAAAAGAGGTGCTGCAGCACAGGCAGCATGAGAAAAATAAAGAGCTTTTTGAACATTAAAGCATGGAGACATGTCACAGTAGAGGCACTAAATATGAACCTGAAAAAGAGCATAATATGGGCCCTAATATGGGAAAATCAACCAAACAAATGTTTTAATTAACGTTTGATACAAAAATTACTGTGGCCAGGTGTTTAAGGAAATAACTAAGCCTTTAAAAAACTAAACTTTTATTGAATTGACACATCGTATTGGTCTTTTTGTGGGATTTGTTAAATAGTCCTTTGCCTAGAAAACCTACATCCACTGCAGCGTACAGACCTGGTGCAGTAGCTACTGTGTAAACGGTTAACTGTGTTTACTTGTTGCGCTGAGCAGTAATTGCACAACATCAACGCTGTGGAGGTTAACCGCGAATGTCTGAGAAGGTTCAACTCGTTACGAGATGTCACATTTCTCATAATTAAATGATAATTATGACAGATCATGATTATAAAGACCCTCTTTATGATTTCAACATGATAATTAAAACAACTGGTGGTACATTGTTGTCTTTCTTCTTGTGTGGCCCAAGGGTTTACATAATGACTGGTAAAGTGAGAAAAGTTTTGGAGAAGGCGTAATGATTATTTTAATTATCATTTAATCTACAGATCATTTTCTAAATTAATCTATCAATCATTTGGTTTAAAAATGGCCAGAACATAGTGACAATAACCATCCAAGTTTCTCGTAGACCAAGATAATGTGTTTACATTTCTTCTTTTGTCAAACCTTTCATATAATATTAAAGATATTATCTTTACAATTATATAAAACAGAGTAAAACAAGACCTTTCCGTTTTGAAAAGGGTCTGAAAACATGTGACAACATGGGAGTGTGTAGGAGAGAAACTCCCTCTGGTGTGAAATGTGGAATGTTATCCTTTGCAGACAGAAACCTTTATAACACACTACAGAACAGGGGAAACCCCCAAAAGCATAATAGGGCTCCTTTAAAAACATATTTTTTCTGTCAATAGATTACGGGTTGCAGCTCTTCTCTTTTTAGCCCCCTGTTGTAAAGTAACTTCATTTTTAACATTTGGTGCACATTCATTGCCTCATTAATGCCAAATACTACAGTATTTTGTTAGTAATAGAATTAATTTATTCATAAAATATAAAGGTCACACACAAGCAGATACATAACATAATAAGAATAAAGTGAGATCTTTAAGTCATGGATATCCTGGAATGATCAATCTGTGCATACACATAAGGCCAATATCAACAAACTGTTATGAGTAGTGTTTGTGCATGCACTTGCCATAGAGACATATCTTCTGCCTGGACTCTTTTACTTATAAAATCCTGATGGAGTGTGAGGCATGACATGGAGATTACAGCATTAGTTTGTCTGCAAATGCAATATACACAGATACAACAAACACAGCTCATTTCTCTTATTTCACATGCTCACATAGCGCTGAAGAAGAGGAGGATGCTGCTGCAGTGCAGAGGAGACAAGAGCTTCAGGGATAGGAGGGAAGGCTGCAGAGAGAGAGATGGAAACTATCTCCTGCCTGCTTCTTCCTGCCAGCCTCTCTCAGGCGCTGTTCCTCAGCAACTGAGTGATCAGAGACAAATAAAAGTGAGTAGAGACAGGCATGCTGCCACAGGAGAGCACCTGTCTGGTCCACCTATTTTTAGACACGACGCCGCGCGCTAGCTATACCATAAGTCTCTAAGGCAAAGTGAGAAGCAAAGTGTAGGCTTGCAAGTTGAAAAGGTGTTCAAGTTTTTGTTCTTCATCCTCACCTTGGCAGCCTATCCTGAGGCTGAATCCAACAAGGCAAGATTAGCTAGTAAGCCAGATAATTTAAGAAAGAGAACATCTCTTCTGCCATTTTCAACATGCAGAAATAGGAACATTTTTACAGTTATCTAAAAAAAGTTCTAATCCTGTTTTGTGAAAATCCCCCATGACAGTGCTGCAGAATGCGCTAATACTCATTGTTTTATGTGAATAAATAGTCCTCATTGAAAATAGAGTTAACATATCTTTACTTCAGTCTATGGCTACCCAGAGACATCAGGAAAATAAAACAGTCAAACAATCATTTGAGAAACATTTACTTTGGTGCCAATAGTTTGCAACTGGTTAGCTTAGCTTAGCACAAATACTGTTTGATAATTAAATGTGGTTAATCCATACAAAAATAGAAGTGTAGAAATGACTGCTGGAGTATTTTAACCGCAGGGTACGACTCGATTAAACTGGGTATGACTCACAGAATTTTATTTTCCATTGCGGACAATATGAAAAAGTGTAGGCTGGGCGATCAGCTGTTCGCTGTAACAACGCCAATGGGCGTAAACAGGAGACTTGCTAAATCCTTTCATTGGTAAACACTGGATTGTCTGCACTTCCACAAATGTAAGGCATATTTTTGCCAGCTGCCATATATTTGTAATCTTTGTTACGTGAAATATAAAAATTACAAACACCATTGTACCGTGTAGGATGTCGCCTACCAATCAGTGGTATGCAGTGTTTTTGCATCAGTGTTTTATTATTGGTGGCTTGGAACCAGGCTGAGGTGATACTGAAACATGGACCAGGTACAAGGTGCTATCGCAAGCTAAAAAACTCAAAAGAGCCGAGTCCATTCGAGTAGAGCCGTAGCAGTTAGAATGTGCCAGTAGCTCCCCACAATATACACACCGGTTTGTTTTGATTCTTTAACTTTTGTATGCTAAGCTGTTCAGGTGCTAAACTAAGCTAACATGTTAGCTCTAACTTTGCATTTACCATAAATATGGCATTGACCTTCTCATCCAACACTGAGCAAGAAAGCAAATACACAAATGTTGATCTATTAAGGCATTTCGGTGATTTGAACGTGTGACATAAATACTACTTTTATGTATACAATGCAATAAAACAACATCTTATAATGGAATCTTCATCACAAAACAACATATCTATACATAAAAAAAACATTTTTCTAAGTAGATTACTCGCACATTTACCCATAAAAGTGAGATGTATATATACAGTACAGCGACACCAAGAGCTAACACATTGTAATGAGGCTTACAGCCTTTATTACTCTTTGATTTCTGCCTAACACAACTTGTAAACAGTTGATTTGACGCAAGAAACCAAACGTTAAGGGAATACACTACTAAACAGAACCCCCAGTTTACAGATTTCTATGCTAGCTCTCTTCACACTGGACAGGAAATGAGCGTGTCGCCTGATGCCGGCCCTGCAGTCTTACCGTTGAAGGATGCCTCTTTCTCACTATGTGGCTCCGCTGAGTCTAGATTGCCATTAACATATCAGAATCCAGTCTGCAGGGAAAAGGGACAAAATGTCTATAATTAATCACACTTGCTACTAGATCAAAATGTAAATATTTTGTGCTTCCATTCTTCCCATGTCTGCTACATTTGAGTAGTAAAAGTGACAGATGTGTGCGCGGTGTGAGTGTTCAGTGTCACCGACAATCGGATTTACTCAAAGTAGTCCACATGGAAATAGGAGAAGAATACTTACGCTCCTACTTCCTTCAGTAGACTCATGAACTTGTTCACTCTGTAGCCAGAATCCACCTGAAAAACATTACTTCTTCTTCATTTCATTTCATAAAGGTACATTTGCTAACAAGCATCTGTTTGATTGAGAATTCAGAAGCAAGGTGTTGAAACATGAGTGTGCAGGTCCTGGAGTTCACGCTGACGGGATCGTGGAGAAGGGGAGGGGGAGAGGAAGTAAAATTAATGGCAACCTATGCAATAACTTACAGTACGTCTGGAATCGCCTGTAGCTACTAGAGTTAAGACATGAGAGCAGTCAGAAACATCGGAATGAGAGGAAAAAAGATAGAGAAGACAGACTGTGTGTGTGTGTGTGTGTGTGTGTGTGTGTGTGTGTGTGTGTGTGTGTGTGTGTGTGTGTGTATGTTTGCTGCATGTCTCGGCAAACACAGGTTCATACTTCTTCAGGCTCATGGTGGGGTGTTGGGGGGAGGGTTTGCAGAACATGGCTGCATTTGTGCATACCACAGCAATTACACAGCATCCAGCCTCAACAAACAGGCGGTACACATCATCAACATACCACAGACACACAGTCAAGAGGAGAATTAACACCGGGGAGATTGAAGTCACTTTCTGCTGCAGCATGTCTGCTACCCGTTTTGTGTTGATTTTTTAAGATGAAATGGCAACATCGGACCCAATATTATTTTCTTGGGAGCATTGCAGAAGAAACACAGCATCTTTGGATCATGCAGTTGGAATTTGATGTAACTGTTCATGTTTTTATGTCTGCTCAAGATCAAACTAAATAAATTGTTTT